TATGGACATATGCCCCATCAAAAACCGGTGCTGACAATTCCACTTTAACTTCAGGACGAGGGGCTTTTTTCACTATCACAGAAATATCCAACTTCGTTCTTCCGATTTCCAGTGTCTTTGCTAACTGCAATTTAAAAATGAATGTCAAATCAAATTTTGAATGTGCGTAATGCAAAAGGCTACTGTTCTCAAATATTAAGACTTCATGCAGGAGAGTTATGGTAAGATGTTTTATACTTTGTACTTGAAGAAGTGTTCTTAAAATATTTCGCACGAAAATTGTTTGAAAATTGCTTACTTAAATGTCCTACTAATGGAAGTATAGCGCAATCCTCTAAGCTGTAACTTGTTAATGGAAGGAAAGAGAAGGATATTGCATTAAGGCAGAAAATTGGAAAGTGCAGGCGACTCACTGGCATGGTGGAAATTAGTATCAACTGGGTGGCATTGATGCAAGTGCTGAGAGTATACGTTACTTCTCCATTGAACAGGATGTCGTAAAATATAAAGGAGCAGGAGCGAACAAGACTTCCGACAGATTCCACATGGAATTTTGCCCCATTTGTGGATAAGTATTCTGGTGCGTCCTTCAAGATGCTGTCAATTATGGATTCGACGGTGGAGCCTGTGCAAGTTGTGTCAACAGAAGCCTTTTTCACTCACCGTAACCGAGAATGGCGACTGGCAGCAACGCCACTAGAAGCAGTATGCTATTGACGAGAAAGTGCTGCATGTCACACGGTTGGTGCTTTTTAGCTTACCGCCTTAGTTTCGTTTTTATGTCCTTTGTAGAATGAAGCGGTTGTATCAGATAAAAGGGATGGGAGATTTGGAGGTCACATCAGGTGGCACCATAATCAAGCTTGCTGACTCGGTCCCAAAACAACTTTCAACTCCTAAAATAGCCTTAATCTAGGTATGCCAAATTGTGGAAGGAATTCAGCAACATAAAAAAGCGTGTTTTTGTAATGCTCAGGGATCTTGTCTACGAAGGTTACTCTTCCACCGCAAGTGTAACCCTGCTTAATGTGCGGCCTGGCTCCTCTAAATATGTTTGCTTGAATTTAAACCATGTGGTTGCGGTTGCATAAGGCGAGAAAGGTGGAAAACTTGGAGGTCACATCAGATGGCACCATAGTCAGGCTACCTGAATGGCACCAAGTTCTAACGCGAGTGAATAAAAGGCTGCGGGCTATGCAGCCTTCTAAAGGACCCTATTCTAATAGCGTGAAAAAGGAGAAAGGAAATCGTCTTTATGAATGAGCGTGTTATGGTGATACTTGCGAATCTTGTTTACCAAGGTTACCCTTCCATTGTCAGTGCAAGCCTTAGTGATGTATAGAAGTGTTTAAATAAATGGAAAGTCCATGATTCCTGTTCCGAATACCTAGAGGTTGCACGTCTGAAACGCAACAACAGGAGCGTGTTTTAGTCCTACTTATTTTTACATTCTGCCAACACCATCAGTCCGCCCATGTTATTTCTCATAGCAATGAACTGATGTTACCGACAGTTACAATCGCTTCAGCGGGTCTGCTGTGTTGTCTGCGGTTTACTACCCCCCCCTTTGTACAATCAATGCAAAGTTCAGGGTTGGAATATCCTCTGTATTACCACTTTGCATGGGTGCATCGGATGCTACCTTCAAAAGACTGGAATCTTACCAATTCCTCATTTCAGAAGCGCATGTTATCAAGAGGTTGAACAACAACGGATGTACGGGTGACGGATAATTCTCAAGACATTTTTACAGTATACACTTATTATTGCTAGATGGCACAAGTCGACTTTTGTTTGCATCTAGGCATCATATTGTGCTTGCTTGCAAACATTTTTTACTGCAATACACAGTACGGTGTTTTCTAAATGAAGTCGCTTTAACCCTTCATTCCTAGTCTTTTCACAATTACTTGGTAGTAGATGCATTATCCACATCGTTATGCCACCCATGTTAAGGGAATGTATCAAATGCAGCTGCAGCACCCTCCTAGAGGGTACTTGAGTATGTTCTTC